TACACACACACACACACACACATATATATATGTATATAAAATGAAAAAAAGGTTAAAATCCAAATTAAATTCTCTAAATCATGGCCTCTATGGGGGAAAAAAAAAGAAAAAAGTTTAATTGCTTCCTATTCCATATAGACAGGTGTGATTGTTAGGTGTGGAACAGATGTTGTGGAGGGATGACTGGTGGGTGATGGTGGTCAGAGCAAGCCCTAGGAGTCAGCTTGTTTAGCTTTAAATTTCACCGGTGATCACTCCAAAGAAAGCAATGGGAACTGAAAAGTAGTAATGAAAGAGAGTGAATACAAGCTAAGATATTCTGGTTGTCTTTCAAAACAGGGCTCTTTTAATTTTTATTGTCAAAAATGGAAAGATATCTGTGAATGCACTTTTAAAATGACCTTGTTAAATTTAATATTTAACAAGGCCTGGTGAGACTCAGCTATTTCTGTAATTGCATTGTTATTTTTATAGCTCTGTTTCCAAGAAGGTTATTAAATTTAAAATAATAATTTGAGTATTATTAATAGAAAAGAGACTGCTTGCTAATTTGCATGCAGTTATAAATATCGGATGCTTTAATAAAATGACTATAATTTAGAGTCTGAATAAAATTCCTGATGCCATTTAGTAATAAGAATGCTTCCTCCACATGTGAAATTGCATGCCTGCAAAACTATCCTCCTCTTTTCTTTTCAGCAAACGGTACAATTGTAATCAAAAATCATTTTACTTTACCTTACTTCACTATTTTGTACACGCTCACTGCCTTCTAAGCTAACTCCCCTTGTAAACCTTGTGCTGTAGGCTGAAATGACTTTTCAGTGAAAAAACATTGATTCCCCCCTGGTTGTCTTGAAAGTAAGAGCTGAAATACATCATTCCATGTAATCACGCTCCATTTATAAAAAACATTACTTTTTTGTTTATATGTATGTTTTAGGGGGATGTTAAAATATAAAATCTATTAATATTTAACGTTTATTAAAAATTACAAGCTATTTGATGAAAAGGTTTTTTTTGTTGTTGTTTCTTTTAAAGCTTTGGGGGACTTGAAGCTTCAGTGCCAAAGTGAAAGGGTAGGTTCGAAACCAGGTTTTGCTGAGAGTTAGAAAGAAACTTCTGAGCTGCTCAAGTTTAGAAGGGTAGGTTATATGCTATTTATACCTGTTCTGCCAAGAAAGGATGTACTTTTTGTTCAAGTTAAGACACAGTAGTACATGCAAAGAGAAAAAAGCCCTAATTTCAGTGTAATGCCAGCACCTCAACTTTGATTTCACAGAATGACAGAATGGTTAAGGTTGGAAGGGACCTCTAGAGATCATCTAGTCCAAACCCCCTGCTCCAGGAGGGACATCCAGAGCACGTGGCACAGGGTGGCATCCAGGAGGGTTTGGAAGATCTCCAGAGAAGGAGACTCCACAACCTCTCTGGGCAGCCTGTCCCAGGGCTCTGTCACTGTCACAGGAAAGATTTGCTGATTAGCTTCCAGCAGTGTTCACAAGGACATACTGCGTGCTTTCTGGTGCGCTTTACATCAACATGGTTGTACAGACTTAGGGCTTGGGTATAAAAAACGGTTTCTTTTGGCTTCTCCTCAAGTTTTCTTAACCAGGACCTGCAAAGGGAGAGGTTACACGTTCTTGGGTGGGTGGCGGGAGACGTGGGCCGGGCGTCGGGAGACAGGCAGGGCTGCCGAGGCCTCCTCGCCTCCCTGCCCGTCCCGCCATTCCCCGGCCGGCCTCGGCCCGCAGAGTGTTCGAGGGTCATGTGGAGGTTTAGGGCTCCTGGCTGGGATGCTCCTGAATTCCACTATTGTCGTGGAGAAAGAGACCAAGGCGACGGCTGCTTTCCTCGTGCGCGGGCGCTGGGCCTCTCCTGGAGCGCCGTCCTGGGCCTCGCAAAATGCCCGCTTTGTCTGCGGGCCCTGCTTCCAGCCTGTGCCCAAACACAGGATAGTTTAATGTGGGCTCAGGATGAACTGCTTTGTGCGGGAATAGAGCATGGTTACGGGGCCTGGAACAGCTTCGTGTTTCCTTTGGCCTCACAGTGTGTTGGTCAGAGTGCCACTGTGAGCTGTATTCCCCAATCTCCATTTTTTTTGCGTCTTCCTCTGATCATTTATTCTCATGTTGTTTGGGTATAGGGAACATCTGTCACAACAAATGTTTACATCCACACCAATGGAGAGGTGCATCAGCTCCTCAAAGTGATGTCCTCCGAGGTCTCTTTATATGCAGGTGTGCAGTGACTAACAAAAAAAATCCTTAGTAATTGGATTAATTGGATTAAGTGTGGTTAAAGTATCTGGAATCAGCATCTGAGTTACTGCAGCAGCATTCTAAGATTGTGAGGTTTCTGTGAAAACATGATTGCTTTGCTTTTGCATTACAAATATACACAAAAGTCATGTCTGGAAGCTTGAGCAAAGTTCTCACAAACTGGACAATGTACAAAATCTTTCTAACATTATGAAATATGGGGACATGTACTTAGGGTTTATTTGTTAACTTTGCGTATTAATCATAAGAGAACTACAGTTCCCTCACTGATTTTCCTCATAATTCTTACTGAAGATGTGTAGCACTTTCTGATTATAAAAAAAGAAAGCTGATTTCCTCTACTTGGTGGCACAACACTTTAACTATTGTCTAAAAGGAGCTCTTGCAAGATGAAAGAAATATTTTGTATTTCAGTTACAAATATGTAGCTCTCAATATCTTTCTTACTCTGTACAAGTAGTTGCTGCTGAATCTAGAGGGAACTTCCAGTTCAGCGTAAAACTTGTTTGGATTAATATTCTCTAGATGTATTGGATTATGAAGAGCTTCTTCCACAATAGCATCCTAGTTTACAGTATTGATGAGCTTTTTTTTTTTTTTTTTTTTCTGTAGGAGAAAGGAGAGAAGAAAAAGGCAGAATAATTGGGTTTTAGAATTTATCACGATCCCTGTTATTTTAATAATAAGTCTTATTAGATCAAAAACATGCTCTTCACCTTTTAAAAACAGAACTTGGTTTTTCTTTAGCCTTTTTTTTTTGTCTTTGTCTTTGTGAAGTGTCTGCTCCCTCTCCTTCTGCTTCCATAGCATTTCTCCCTCTGAGTTTCCTTTCCTTTTGCTTTCTCCCCAAAACCAGTTTCTAATTTTTTTTTTTACATTTGTTTTCTCTCACTCTCCGTGCACTCCTTGCTCTCGGAGATAAAGGCTAAAAAGTCTGTAAATATATGCCAAAGGGAAAGTTAGGGATTGGGATAACTTTATGATTGGATGCTGTGGCAATCTTTATGGCCAGTAGCTGTCAAAGGTCCTAGCTAGATGTTTCAGATCATACTGGAGAATTTTCTGTAGGTTTGTCCCAAGCACTCACATGTGTAAAATCACCATCTAGCAACTGTATTTCACTTCAAGAAAGTGTGTGTTTTCACTGTGTCAATTTATACAGACTGAGAAAGGGTTCATCAGGACAGGATGATGCAGAAACCTTTGCAAAAATCCTCTCTCCACAAATACCCTCTCTGGTTGCTTGTTCAGCGTAAAGCTATAAAATGATATGCCCCCTCTGTTTGTAACACAACCGAGAATGTTGCACAGGATAAGCAAGAACCTTGGAAAGTTCATATAAAGTAGAATTGCTAGAAAATAAAAATAAGTGTGTGCAAATCCAGTGACTTTTCTTAAAATGTTTAGATTTCTGAAGGGATCTTGGTTGATGTCCAGAACAAAGTTCAGACCCAGTTCAGTTTTGCTCCATGTCTGTAGGCAATTATCAAGTGACAAGGTTTGCCTAAATTGAAGATAAAAATGAACAAGGTGGAAGTGTTATATGACGAGCTTTGCTATTAAGTTTTCTGCAGTTCATACCTGCGAGATGGTTATTTTTAGTGGCTATTTTCTTGCTTTTGCTCAGGATGGTGAGGCTTGATGCATCTTCAGCTCGTTCCTTTAATAAGGAGAAATGTGTTTGCCTTTCAGACTTTCAAAATAAGAATAATCCTCAGTTTCATTGCTGCACTTGGATCAGAGGCTCTCCAAGTACATTATAAAAGATGTCAGTATTTCAGAAATCTTCACTAATTTGGCACAGTCTGTCTTTAAAATATTTTGAGCACTCAGATCGCTTTCTGAGTGCTCTCCTCTTACAAGGAGAGCAAAAGAAAGAAGAAGAGTAAAACAATAAACCCCAACCCTGTAGGCAGAATGTTTCATTAGAATAGTTGTGGGGTTTCCTTTTAATTATATGTACGTAAAAAGATGGAGACAATCTGCGCTTTTGAGGGAGAGCAAGAGACAAGAGGAGTTCCTTGCCTGAGGCCAGGGCTGGAAATACAAACCCTACTTAGCTGGCATCATGTTTTTTGATACTAGCAATGTCACCAGGGTTCTAATGATCACTTGTCCTCCCCTTTAGTGATATATTGTCCTGCAGATAATTGTGTGCAGGATACCAAGTGATACAATGACATATTTAGATAGAAGATAAAGGAAGTTTCCTTTATAATAACTGCCTCAGTTCCTGTGGTGGGATCTGCTGTTCCATGGGCAGGATTATAGCTGCAAACGTTGGCTCTGACCTGTTGCAGAGTGTGTCCTTGGACTGGGTCTCTGTGGAGGGTTATTAATGCATTAAATGTATTTGTTCAATCACTGAGCCTTTTTACAGCCTTTTCCTGTCTGGTATTTGTGTGTCTTTTTAATGGAAGCTGTTACCGATGACGAGTAAGGCTCAAAGGAGAATACTATATGCATGAAAGTGACTAGTTCAAAAGAAAGAGAAATCATAAAAACAAACACTGAAGTGTTTGGCAAACTCAGAGTTTAATCTCTTTCTGTATATTCTGTTCACTGTTGTAGTGTTTCTGCATTGTGATTAAACTCCATTATAGCACATGATTCCCTGTGGGGCTGCTGCTGCAGTCTGCAGCTGGGAGCAAGGTCCCCTGAGATGCAAACCTGCCACTTACCAAGCCTCTCTTGTCCTCTCTCCCTTTTTTTCCACAGAAAATACCGGAAAGGAGCCCGGGTACGTCTGAGACTGCTGGATCTTGAGCTCACATCTAGATTCTTGGGTGCAACAACTGACACAACTCTGCTGGAAGCTGATGCAGTGCTTTTAGGGCTCGTGGAAAGCAAGCAAACAAAGCAAAAGGAGTAAATTTCATATAAATAAAACCAGTTTATATGCCTTGAACCTGTTATACAAATTAAATGTTCCCTCGGGAAATGAATGAAAAGTTACTTTCCTCTTGGCTGTGTAAATAATGAGATCAATAAAAGACAGTAAATGTGGTACATGATTCTCTTTTTTTTTATTCATTTTTATTCATTTGCTTTTATATTTACATCTCAGGAAGTTCCTTTCAGTAACATGAGCTAAATGTTTGCATATTCTTGCCTAAAAAATTCCAAAGTTTCTTCCTCTCGTCCCAAAGAAATGTTGATTAAAATCACTGTGTTCCCATGTAGGAATTCCAGAGCTTCTTCACTGAACAATGTTGAGGATTCATAGAATCATAGAATGGTTAAGGTTGGAAGGGACCTCTAGAGATCACTAGTCCAACCCCCTGCATACGCAGGGTCACCTAGAGCACGTGGCACAGGACTGCATCCAAGCGGGTTTTGAAGATCTCCAGAGAAGGAGACTCCACAACCTCTCTGGGCAGCCTGTTCCAGTGCTCTGTCACCCTCACTGTTAAGAAATTTGTCCTTAAGTTCCTGTGGAACTTTTGATGCTTCAGTTTGTGGCCATTTCCTCTAGTCCTATCAGTGGCCACCACTGAAAAGAGGCCAGCACCATCCTCCTCACTGCCTCCCTTGAGGTATTTATATACACTGATTAGATCCCCTCTCAGCCTTCTCTTCTCCAGGCTGAACAGGCCCAGCTCCCTCAGCCTCTCCTCATAGGGCAGATGTTCCAGGCCCCTGATCATCCTTGTAGCCCTGCGCTGGACTCTCTCCAGCAGCTCCACATTCCTCTTGTACTGTGGGGAGCCCAGAACTGGACACAATACTCCAGGACTCCTGATTTCAGAGTTATACTGCAGAATTTGTACAGCCAATATGGAATTCATCTCTGTTATGATACCTGCTTTTATCTCTGTCACATCTTTTTGGAGCATTTGCTATCCAAGAGCTTTTCTTTTGGTTCTGTTATATGCAAATCTTAATTCTGCATGCTCATTTGTATAGTGCGTAGCAGATGTGGTGACCTTGGTCATTTATACCATCAGATGATCGAAGAAAGCTTTTAAGTCTTAAAATGTATTTTTTAAACTTTGGAATAAAATGAGAATTATTAACATCATATACTTTGCCAGAGTGCAGTGACAAACATTTCTAATGTTTTATAATAATTTAGCAAATTGTGCATTGATTTAGGCATGTATTACTCAAATCCACATGATCTTTTTGTTGGAGCAGGCACTGTGAGCAGTGATGGAGGCAGCAAAGGATCATGCAGCTCCTTTCGTGTCTCAAGAGTAGAGATTTCACTCATGCAAGGGAGGAGGCTGTATGGGACTCACTAAAAAATAGGGTACCAGAGAGCCAGCTGTTGGCTGCACAACTCCCACTTTGCCTGTCTATTTGCCTATCTATGGGCTTATGTTGATACAGAACTATAGCTATATATAGCTACTTGGATTAGAGGTCATAGAACAAAAAGTGTGAATAATTCTGTTAAAATGCAGCTGATGTCGAAGTCAGCAATTCGCCATCCAAACTTCATATGATTGAGCAAAATCTTGTCATATAAAGCATCTTACGCAGATTTTAATCTTCTTAGAGATCTTTTCCAAAAACATTTCTTCTACTTTAAAGACTGTCTTTCCTTTGAAAGCATTCACAAGGAAAAGGGAAATCAAAGCTTGTTTTCAAATTCTTGTTCACCTAGATCCAGAGGCCTATTGCACTGTTGCGTGGTTCTTTCTTACTCTCCTACCCAAAGAAAGACTCAATTCCTTTCCTTCCTTCGCCCTTTTACAACATGGAATAAGCAGTTATTGTGTAGGCATGAACAGTTAGGGATATTCTCTGTACATCTTAGGCATCATCTGTCATGAAGAATGTTTTAAAATACAATGTGCATTTGACCAATATACTAGGAGGAATCACATGGAAAATGTGTAGCTTTCTGAAGGGAGTGGACATGTTTTAGCAGATCCTTTCATAGTTTTGCCAACTCAAGTTGTGTTTCTGAAGTCACTCAGGCTCCAAGCAAGACAGTGCAAACAAGGCATGTGTGCTTATTTTGTTGCCTTAATTTGCGCATTAATCTCAGTGATCTTAATTAGGGGAGTTTGAACATGAATTTCATGGGGTGTTAGCCTCCAGGTAAAGATATATACTACCACTGAAATAAATAGAAACCAGAAAGGATTTAAAATTTCAAAGATAATCCTTCCTGTTAAAGATAACTCCTCTTACATGTTTGATCAACCTTAAACGGGAATGGTTCAGGAGGAAATACGTACCTCAGCTTTACAGGAGCATACTGGAATAATAATATAATAATAACAGTATTACAGATTATTTAGCAGCAGAAAATCAAATACGATTTTATGAAAGCTTCCTCTGGATAGCCCTTAGAGAAGTGTCTTTTAAAGACTGCAGTGATTGCCAAGTGCATAATCTGATTTGTTCAAAACCAGCTTAGTATTTTATCTGGAAATTCACAGGTTCACGTGAACCATCATGGTCTTATGAAGTGAGCTTGCCTCTGTCTGAGGGCAGTAAATTGGCAGGCACTTGAGGTGGTCTCCAACACTTTTAAGTTGCCTGGATGTTACCTGTGTGATTTAAGCTTCACAGGCTGCAGGCTCCTGCCAGCCTTTCTGGTTGCAGAGAATTGCTCTTTATTCAGGAGTCCAGCTTTTCTTGGGTGACTTTTCAAGGCAGTTAATTAGGTATGAGACCTCTAAACACTACCTCCATTTGGGGTACGCAATGCTGGTTGCTTATGTAGTTTGTGTTTTATATTTGTCATAACTCTGTATTCCAAAGAATCTGCATCGAATGCACACGCTGTTGCATTCAGTGTGGTGTAAGCAACTAGCAGTGTGTCCAGTATTAAACAGGCAGGCTGGCACGCTCACGTGGCAGAAGTGCTAAGGCTCTTCTCCTTTCTGACTCAACTCATCTGGAGGAAGAGGAATTGATGATGCACACAGCGCTTTCTGGTGCCTTCCAGCTTATTTACAAAGCCATGTGTCCCTGAGCGCAGAATAATCCTCACAAACATAACCTCTTTTCTGCCAGCTGTCCTCCGCCCGTCCCTGGAAGTTTTCCATTCATGGCCAGAGATGCCTTTTTGCCCTTTCTCTTGCGTGCTCCACTTCTGCGCGCACACGAGTGTCCGTGTGTCCTCTGCCTCTCGCACGATGCACAGCGAGGTCACTTCATCCGCATCATCCAGGCTCCCGAGCGGCCTTGCATGTGCCTTTGTTTGGGCAGCTTGGCCGTTTGTCTGGAGGTCATTAATATTTCGTACAGCAGGATAGTTGTTTCTGCTCACATAAAGGAAGGGTAGCAGTCATGCCACCAGCTTCTGGGACACTGCGCCTTGCCCTCAGCAGCACTCGGAATACCCTTATCTCTTAAGTGTGCTCTGTCTGTTACTTACCTTAAACAAAGTAAGGCCACTGATTCAGCATACTGACACTTAAAATCTTATAGTATAAATCATATAGTATAAATACGTCATTTTGCTGAGAGTACTTAGGTCAGTGTGAGTCCTCTAACTTGTCTCAGCTGATTGCTAAAATGAGGGTTCCTCTATAGAACATTTTGTACTTTTCTTTTTAATTGGGTTATTTTGTCTTACTCTGATCAACTCCCCACAGATCATCATCAAAGTCACATGGATTTAATCTAACAATTATATTTTTCTTCATTTTACAGCCAAGTTGGTTTTAGCAGGTCTCAGTTTTTGTTTCTTGATCTGCTTTTCAGAGGCTTTTTTTTTTCTATAACACCCTTGTTTTTTGTATGTGTTTAGGCTTTTTGCTCTACAAGTTCTCAAGGAACAACGCAGACCCCAGCTCATGTGCAGAAATTCCATTCTCTCTTTCTGTCGGATACAGCTTTGTATCCTGCCTGCATCACTTCATTGGCAGATCCCTCATTTGGATAACTGTGACAGATCCACTTGTAATTCATGCTTGCTATGGTGTAAAATTTATGCTCAGAGCCTAGCAAGAAATTCCTCCGTAGCAAGCAGAAGAGATGACTAGCTGAGGGCAGGTACGAGCGTTCTTTCTTACTCAACTTTGGTATTAATTTCCATGTGTTGTGGTAGAAGGACCGGCCCGTTCTTTTTTGAGTCCTGTAACTGAAATGCTCCCAAATTTCACCCGGTCCTACGTCTACTCCTCACTGCATGGGCAAGTCATGCAAATATTACACCTGGATGTCAGTAATGCCTTCTGGCTTCACAGATGTGCTTGTGAGTAGAAACCGGCTTTGAGAAAACTGAATCAAAGCCAGTTGGGGTTTTAGCTGAAGCAAGCGTAACGAATAATTTGATTTTTTTGTTTTATTTGCATCTTGCTACGACCATTTCAATAAGTTTTCCTAAAGCTATACTTTTTATTTGTCTTTCAGGAATAGAACATTAAAATACCTTATATACACTTGGAAAAGCAAAATAGCTTCATCATGGTGTAGATATGGAAGAAAAAGAACACAGTAAAATGTTCCTTTGATGGCTGATGTGCTATAACAGGACTCGGTAAATTCCCCTGGGCTTGTCTGCCCTTTAATGTTCCACCTTTAGGTGACGAGATGGGGAAAAAGAAAACCTGAAAAAATCAGACCTGCCTATTGAGAGCAAATTATTATCTTGCCACAAAAGCTTTGGCACTGGAAAGAAAAGCAAAGAAAACTTAACATTTTCCTTTTCTTGAGGGCATTCTGGAAAGTTTGGGTTCCTCCTCATTTCTTATTGTTGTCCTGTTTATAAATCAGGCAAAATATTGTTCAACCTTTTTTTTTTCTGACATCACTATTCCCTTATTCTGGGAAAGCTTTTCAAGTCTTCTGTTTTGGCTAGACACCATTTCTGCCAGATAGAAGCATGCACTCTGCGTGTGTTATTTTAGTAAATTATGCATTCTGGGGAAGTGTTTATCACATATGAAGGGTCTAGACTGCCCAAATGGGGCTATTACGTTGTTTTCTGGCTTTAACCCAAAATAAATATTATCTCTGGTATGACTGCATTAGACTAACATCAGTAAGTTCTTAAATACTCTTAAATGTTCTTGTTTCCTTCTGGGCTGTGT